TATTATTATTATTATTTCCAATTTAGACAGTTATTGCGCATATTGATTGAGATTTTCTGAGTATGTGACCAATATTCAGGAGCTGAGACATTTCAGTCTCGTATAGTCAAGGGTTTACTCGGATTCTCTTTTATGCTTTCTTGAGCTCTTATTATTTTTTGAAATGTTGTAACCTAGAAACGGTTTCTGAATGAGAAATAACCAAAAACGAAGGTTGGAAATGAAATGCTAATCTTTATAACATCAATAAGATACAATACTCGCCAGCGGCGTGAAGTAAGTAAACCACTGCTAATGGTGAACTACTTAGCAATTACCCCCACTTACAACAGTGTCCAACATATATATGAGGATTGGGAAATACCCATTAGTGTTCATAGGTACAGTATATAACAGGGAAATTGTGTTTAGATGGCAAATTCTTATAATTTCCATTTTAAGGCCTTTGTATTTTGAAAGTTTGGCAAATTCCCTTACTGAGATATATTTTTTTATCCCACGATATGGCCGTGTCTATGAGATATCACGTATGACTTTTCATGTCTCGTCTTACTATTATGGAGGCAATGGGTAGTGGCACGGATTAAAGAATCGGTGAGTTGAGTTCGAATTCCAGTCGTGCTCATTAAAATCACTTACATGAATATGATATTAGAATGGTACGAGTTCTCTTTTACTCCGCCCAGCTATGGGTGGCAGCCGGTCTAGAAAGAAACTGAATTCAAAACCAACCTGGAGAGAGTTGGGCTATCTTGTCCAAGCAACGCCACTTCTACTGTGGTTGCAGAAGTTGTAGTGCCCCTATGATCCTTATGGGTCACAGGATTCGCGATTATCATATCGAGTCTTCTGACTTCTATAAGGTGACTGTTATGTTAGGTGATGTCCTAAAGCACATGTAAATGAATTCAGTATATATTGAAAAATAGAAAGGCGTGTAAGATTTATCACAGTGATTCTGTGAGAATTAGAAGTCCTACCAGAATTCATTATTGGCGGCCAAAATCTTAATAATATTAAATATGTTGTGATGACAGCAGACATAGAAAAAATATGTTAAGTCCTTAAGAAGGTACTAAAGAAACTTGTAAAGAAAGGACTAAACAAAATTTGTATGAAGACAACAAAAATGAAGAGAACAAAATACAAATTATAAATTGGAGGTGCCAATATCAAGTAGATATTTACTTGACCCCCCCCCCACTGAGTCAGATTGTAATAAAAGGTCAGTTTTTAACGTGGGAACCCGGGTGTTTTCCATAGCTTGTCCAAGCTGGTCAGAGCTGGTCTAAGCTAGTCATAGCTGGTCTTGGCTTGTCATTGCTGATCCAATCTGGTCAGAGCCGGTCCAAGCTAGTCATAGCTGGTCTTGGCTTGTCATAGCTGATCCAAGCTGGTCAGAGCCGGTCCAAGCTAGTCATAGCTGGTCGGCTTGTCATAGCTGATCCATGCTGGTCAGAGCCGGTCCAAGCTAGACATAGCTGGTCTTGGCTTGTCATAGCTGGTCCAAGCTGGTCAGAGCCAGTCCAAGTTAGTCACAGTTGTGATACTACCAGCGCAGGGACGGATCCCTACACCAGGTAAGTATGGTGCCAATATCAAGTAATAAGCGAATGCATGCCCATATCAAGTTCTTATTCATTTTAGGCCAGGTAATTCGCGTCAGGTAAGATCAGGTCAGGACAGACTTTGGGAATTACATGATAGTGAAGATTACATATTTGGTAAAGAAGTTAAGAAAATAGAAGATAGAAAAAGGCTGTGCTAGGGGTAGTTTAGTAGAGGAGGTAAAGAAATGGGATATTAATTTCCTTGTTTAAGAAAATAAAAATAGATAGTCACTCAAGTATGTGTACCTACTAAAAATAACCTTTATAGTAATAAGACACATACAAACGCACACACGCACACACACGCATACATATATATATATATATATATATATATATATATATTAATTTAAAGAAAAACAGACTACTTTAATGTTCCATTGTTATAATTTATTTCACCAGAGATTTTATTTGTTCTGGATCATCAGACCTCACTTCCAAGGATGAAAAACTGAATTTAAACTTACACTTTTGAAGAGCAGTATTAAGCTTATGTAAGGTGATATAGAGAGTGGTCAGAGATAGTGTGACAGACGTGGTCGAAATTAGAGAGGGAAGGAAGAGATAGGAATGCTTTTAAATTTATTTTTATTTTTATTACAATACTTGATATTGAGGAGGGGGTAAGTATCAGACATTGACCTATTTAATAGGTCAACTCCCCGGAAACGATATAAGGGGGAAAGAGAGAAAAAAGAAAAAAAGAGAAAGAAGGGAGAAAAAGAAAAAAAGGGGAGAAGTAAAGATGTAAGAAATAAGAGATGGAGTTAGGGTTTTGAAGGAAAGAGAGGGGGATATAAGTTTGGATAGGGAAATTAGCGTATATATTTATAACAATGGAGCCTTAAAGTGGTCTGTTTATCTTTAAATTAAATTATTCGCTCTGACTTAATATTGAGCTCTCCGGATTTCCTCCTCCTTGATGAAATTTTGGTAATCCATACGGATTACCAAAATTTTCATTAAAAAAAAATTTATATATATATATATATATATATATATATATATATATATAAAGACATTTTTATGTTTATACATTCTTTTATAGATACAAATATTTAAGTAAATGCTCTGTTTATAATAAACAGTATTAAACAGCATTTATTCATTATGTCTTAAAATAATTGTCGGACTTTGTCCATTTCATATATATATATATATATATATATATATATATATATATATATATATATATATTTATAATCGGTATCACCCCATGCAGTAGAGCCACTGGCAGGGTGTGGAGGAAATCGAAATAGAAACAGTAATCAGTATCAGGAGAACAGTAGATAATGATTGACATTGCATTTAAATTTTTGCAAATTAAAGTTCGTTGGAACGCATGTGACCGGGGGGGGGGAATTTCTCAAGCGAGAAGTGTGAGATAAGAAAATTTTAGTTCCGGCTGCATCTAGCTAACTCAACTGTAAATTGATGAGATCTTGCTGCCAGTTTAGTATTGTACTGAAATTCATACAGTCTAGGTACCATAGCAAAGAGCTCATCCGAACAATTACCATGAAAGTATTTGTAAAAAATATACAAAGAGGCAACCTTACGGCGGTGGGCATAATAATATTGCTGATATTTCTTTGCATCTTATCGAGGGGCGTCAGGAAAATAGCAGAGGCGCCGGACAATATATGGCAGCAATATTCTAAGGATAGACGAATGTTAGACTTATAGATATGCAAGGTTGGATCTGGAGATAAATATTGCCTCGTTCGACATATTGAACTGACTTTCTTAGCAGTTGATCTAGCGATCGGCTCAATGGAGTCTTTCCACCTCATGTCAGTTGAGAACGATCGACCGAATAGGCGCAATGAGTCGATTTCTCCGAGGATAGCATCAACTGAGCTGATGGGAGGCAGAGAGAGGTCTTTCAGATGATCAATGGAAATCAACTTAATTTTGGAGGCGTTAAATTTGACAATCCATCGTTTACCCCAGTTAACGATGGTCTTGAGGTTGTTTTGTACATCAGCTGCCATTTTGACCATGGCTGACTGGTCAGCCTTACTATCGCAGCAGGAGTAATAGGTAATGTCATCAGCGTAGATGCCAAGGTGAGGGTTGATGTCATCGGGAAGGTCGTTAATGAAGATTAAAAATTGCGTAGGACCAAGGTTAGAGATCTCTGTTAGTACGAAAGGACGTAGACTCTTTCTGCCATTATCGTTAGTATATCAGCGGTTGACTTAGAGAAACGAAAACCTTTGGAGTAAAAGATATGGCTACATTTACCCGATTCGACAGTGACAGGGTGGGACCGATATACCAACCTTGTAGCACTCTTAAAATCCTGCAGTTTGGGAGCCAGTGAAAGTAGATCGTCGGAGAAATTGCCAGGAAAATACTTGAAGAAATGACAGAGGGAAGCCACAGCCCGTCTGTGAGAAAGTCATTGTAGTCGGGATGACAGATCAGGGCCAATCACGTTGCATATCTGTCTCTGGATTTTGTCGAGGACCTCGAGATGAACAGCGGGAGCACCAGACTATATATGGCAGCAGTATTCCATTCAAGGACGAATGGTTGATTTATAGATTTGAAGGATGGACCCAGGCGAGAAAAACCTGGCGCGACACAGAGAACCAACTTTCCTTGCGGTAGATGAAGCTATAGATTCAATGTTGTTGTTCCACTTGAGGTCAGTGAACAGCGTGAGACCAAGCAGGCGCAGAGAGGTGCTAGACACACGTCAGTTATAAATCCAGACAAAAAAAATCGGGGTTTCATTTTCGCATTTTAATTATATTGTAAACTGAACCACCTCTTTATAACCACCTCCATCTCGATCCCATTTTAAAATTTAGCTTTTCACAAAAATAATGTTTGAAAGATATAAATGTCTAAAGAAAGCAAAGAAAGCGAATAAGAAAGATAAGTTTCAGTAGAAATATCTATTATTTCAAGAAAACAAATTTAAACTTTTCTCTTCTTTCCTTCTAAAATATTTTTTTATTCTTTCTTCGACATTTTCTTTCTTATGTAAATTCCTTTTGTTTTCTAAACAAACTAATGTTTTTTACTTCCCTACAAATTCTAAAAGGTGTATTTCTTTCTTTTCTGGCTTACGGCCATATCACAGTGCAATCCCGTACGATCACCGTATCCAAGCAACGTTAGTACCTAGATGGGAATACCAGGCGCTATATGTTTGACTCCCAAGAGGGTGCTTCCCGGATTACTAAAATCTTAACCTCTTTAAGACTAAGCTCATCCGATATCTTTCCTAAATATCATTTTAAACTACACTTTTCGCCCACTCCTCTTAAATACATCAAGTTCAAATTCACTCGGTAACTCTCTAACTTGAGTGGCACGTGGGCCTTTAATTAGGTGGACAATTAATAAAACGAAAATCTGAAGAATCATTGAAAGATAACGGCCACATCACGTTGAAACACCGGTTCCTTTCCGATCACTGTAGTTAAACAATGTCGAGTCTAGTCAGTATCTAGATGGGTGACCGCTTGGGAATACCAGGTGTTGTATGTTTCGATGTGGGGTAAGCGTAATGGATAATGACTCGGAATTATTATTCGGAGAGCCGAGTTTTAATTCCCGTTGGGTTCATTATATTCAATTAGGCGCAATTATCCTTGGGAAAGTGATTAATCCACCTCTTCCTACCCTAGCTATGGGCTTATTAGTAAGACATTTATCGCTAAACCATTATCTCCAAAAATAATTCTTAGAATATTTTCTGTCTTTAAATAACCTTCAACTAGTTGATAAGTCGTAGGAAATGAATTGATTAATTGATTCTTTCTCTTTTTTTTTCTTTATTCTTTCTTTTTTTTTATTTTAACCTGTAAGAAAATTATTTATTCTTTTTTTTTTTATTTGGACGTTTTTTTTTCTTTAACGTGTTTATTCGTCATCGTTAGCATTTTTTTTTCCTTCCATAATTCTTTCTCTAATGATCTTTTTCTTTTCTTCTTATTCTTTTCTAATATATTTTCGTTCCATTTTTTCTTTTTTTTTTCTTTTTTTGCTCTTCTATTTCGCTTTCAAACTTTTATTTCTCAAACACAATTTCTAACCAGTGATTATGTTTTCAGTCAACGTTTGCGTCCAGCTAATAAATGTCAGTAGTTTTGTTGGTTCAAATTTGGTTTTGTCTCCAGTCATATGATGAAAACTTCCCGAAATTCACTAAATAGACTTCTACATCATTTTCTTTTCTTTTTTTTTTCTTTTTTACCATTTTTTTTTTTTTTTTTGTCCGGGTATACAAGCAATAAAATATTATGGATAACAGAGAGTAAGGCGAAAGCCACAAAGTACAAAGCCTATATTTATGTCCGTTCATTTCTTCCTAGATGATTTTGTACTAGAACAATAAAATGAATATGGCAACAATTACCCAAACACGATTGTCACTTAGTCTCCAGTGAGCTTTAAGAAATATTCATCTCTCTTTTCACTCTCTCTCTCTCTCTTTCTCATTCTCTCTCTTTCTCTCTCTCTCTCTCTCTCTCTCTCTCTCTCTCTCTCTATATATATATATATATATATATATATATATATAAAAAAGGCTTAAACACTAATATTCCATGGTTAATTTATTCCATTGAATCGTAACGTTTACGATTCCAATGGAATAAATTATGACCATGGAATATTAGTGTTTAAGCCTTTTTATTATATCCTTACTCTGTCCTAGACATTGAGTTCTACCTGGATCCTTCCTCTTGGAAAATTTTTTTTCTGAAAATATACATGTATGGGAATTTTTAAATATATTTTCATATGTATGTATATTTTCCACTAATATTATCTCTCTCTCTCTCTCTATATATATATATATATATATATATATATATATTTTAGTTTTTGAAAAACTAGGTAATCCGTATGGGTAGACCCAAGGAGGATAAAATCCAGAGAGCTCAATGTAAATCCAGAGCAAATAATTTAAATAAAAACAGACCACTTTAAGGTTCCATGTAATAATTATTTCGCCACAGCCCTTTTAAAAGGACTGTGGATCATCAGACTTTACTTCCAAAGGTTGAAACGAAAAATGAAAAGAAATTTACACATTTTTGACGGGCCGTATTAAGCATATGTAAATTAACGAAGGGGGGAAGTGAGTGGGGAGAGAGAAGACATGATTGAGTTAGATGTAATTTAATATTTCTATTCTTTCATACTTAAAATTACTTGAGGAGGTCTAGACATTGACACATAAAGAAATATAGTCTTAAGATGTGCTATATTTATGGGATAAAGTGCTCAATATCAGAGATAGAGCGTGTGTAAACATAAAAGTGAACATTGAAGTCAACACTTAGAGGCGACAGACTGTTTTATGCTAGACGCAATTGTCAGGCCACGACGTGGCCTGACGATTGCGTCTAGCATGAAACAGACTGTTGCCTCTAAGAGTTGTCTTCAATGTTCACTTATATATATATATATATATATATATATATATATATATATATATATATATATATATTCCAGACGAATCCCCATACATTCACTTGCGTGCTAATACCCTTCGGAAAAGTATGTATCCTCTTCTTCCTCCAGCTATGGGTAAATAGCAGGACAGACTGGGTTCTATAGCATTGGATGGCAATTGGTCTAGGAGAAGGACAACTCTGAATTCAAAACCTGCGGAGGGTCGTTTGGGGACCTTGTGGCACGTAGTGCACCAGGTCTTTGTTTTCGGCCCTTCGAAAAGTGTGGATGGATCTGCACAAAACCTTCACCACTATAATCAATTCTCATGTGCTGGTATCGAGCTGTTGGTCCCTAGGAACAGATCTGCTTGCCCCTCATACGTTGATTTCGACGGGAGAGTCGAGTATATATAGTAATTTTCCAAGCGTAGCTTAAATGTGACGCAAAGTCGAAGGTTTGGAGCACCCAGTGACGATCGAACTCACTAATCAGTCGCAATTGACCTAGCAAGACAAGATTGCTAACCATTACACAACGTCGATGTGTCGAATGATATTTTAAGGGTAGCTTAGATGTGGCACAAGGCCGAAAGTTTGCTGCACCCAGTGATGATCCAACTCATTACTTAGGCGTAACTGATTTATCGAGAAAAGCTTACTATCCATTACACGATATTTGAATTCCCTAAAATGATTTTCCAAGCGTAACATACATTCGGTACAAGGACGAAAGTTGGTCACTCACTACTCAATCATAATTGATGTTGAACTAGCAATATATATATATATATATATATATATATATATATATATATATATATATATATACCAAAGTATATAATTGGTATATACGGAATGAATTCCAATAACCAACAATTACTATTCTTAAAAGAGTGCTCAATACAAGTAGAGCAGATATAATTATTTTTTATAAAAAAATTATAACATAAGTATGTTATAAAATAAAATAAATGGTTTTAAAAGTTTTTCCTTTTAAAACCATTTATTTTCTTTTCAACATCATCACTTGATAAGACACAGAGTGTGTTGAAACAAAATGGCTATTTTTGTAGTGATTTTATAACATACTTATGTTATAATTTTTTATAAATATATATATATATATATATATATATATATAATATATATATATATATATATATATATATATATATATATAATATATATATATATAATTATTTTTTTATAAAAAAATTATAACATAAGTTATATAAAATCACTACAAAATAGCCATTTTGTTTCAACACACTCTGTGTCTTATCAAGATGATGTTGAAAATAAATAAATGGTTTTAAAAGGAAAAAACTTTAAAACCATTTATTTTATTTTATAATATACTTATGTTATAATTTTTTTTAAAAAATAATTATATCTGCTCTACTTTGTATTGAGCACTTTTTAAGAATAGTAATTGTTGGTTATTGAATTCATTCCGTATATACCAATTATATACTTTGGTATATATATATATATATATATATATATATATATATATATATATATATATATATATATGCGTGTGTGTGTGAAATTTGTGATATATACATTAATAGATACAAGAACAATGTTTAGCAAATGAAAGACAAAGGTGAAAAATCCTGTTATGCGTTTTGCCATCTAGAAGTAAGTTCATCTGACAAAAGTAATGTTTTTGTTGTGAAGATTATCTTTCTGCAGGTGGGAGAGAATAATATAATAATATAAGAATGTATGATGACATGATGACATGTTCGTCATGAATTAGTCTTAACGAGGTTAAGATTTTAGTAATCCGGGAAGCACCCTCTTGGGAGTCAAACTTATATCGCCAGGTATTCCCATCTAGGTACTAACGTTGCTCCAATACGGTGATCGTACGGGAAAATAAAGTGAAATAAAGTTCAAATAGATATTATTTCAGGATCATTTTCCAGTTTATTCAAGATGATATTTGCCATTTATAAACTTCTAACTTTCTGTCTTGGAGTAACAAGGTACCTCACAGATTTCACGTACGATTTCATTTTCAAGTCTTTTTTGACTGCTTTTTGGACTGTCATAGCTGAAACTCCTCTCTCGCGTGCCATAAGTCATATTAATTGAGTTGGATCTTTTGTAATTGATCTCTTTAGCTCTAAGTAGAATTGATGATCCCTTTTCTTGATGTGACTTTCTAATCCAGTTTTCCTCTCTACTCTTCCCTCTTTTTAAAACTTATTCACCGTTCCCTTGGGGGTTCTTCAATGGACTTTGAAAATGGAAGCCAGAGTATGAATGTTGGTACCATTACTGAAGGCCAGAATGATTTTTTTCCTCTCATCAATGCTCATTTGGGAAAATAGTGCAGCTGACACAAAACGATTTTAACCTGTTCTCTTTCTAGCTAAATAACTCAAGGGGTTCTTCGGTGATTCTTACAAAAAATGATGTTAAGGTGGTTAGATGTCTTATCTCAATTAGTTTATTATTTTTTTTAGATATTAAACATTTTGGGAGATGGACAATTACCCCATGTTGTTATACGACTTGGACTATTTTGCTGTTATACACAGTATGCATATATATATATATATCTATATATATATATATATATATATATTTGTAGGTACAAAATTTAATGATCAAAATAAAAGTATAAAACTTAATATTACGAGATATATTAAAAACAGGCGAAGTAATGGTTTTGCCCTGCTCTTCAGGCTTCAACGGGAGATTTAATTTAAAATTAACACAGAAAAATGTACAATAAAAAGGAAGTTGTAGGAGGAAAAAAGAACAAAAAAAAATAAAATAGCAAAAGGAACTAGAGACAAATGACAGTGAGCCCCAAAAAACACTCACGTTGTTTACACACAGAAGGCTTATGGGACCCAATATATATATATATATATATATATATATATATATATATATATATATATATATATATATATATATAATAAAAAGAATATTATTCCATGGTCATAATTTATTCCGGAATAAATTATGACCATGGAATATTAGTGTTTATGCCTTTTTATTATATCATTACTCTGTCCTGGACATTGAGTTCTACCTGGATTCTATCCTCTTGGAATTATTTTTATACAAATATATATGTATGTGTATGTATGTATGTATATATATTTATATATTTTGCACATGTATGTGTATATTTACCACTAATATTATCTATCTATCTATTTATATAGAGAGATAGAGAGAGAGAGATAAAGAGAGAGAGATAAAGAGAGAGAGAGAGAAATTTTATAAGATAACTATAATAATTTTTATTAGAATCCGGTCTTTCCAACCAATTCTTTTTGACTGTCTCATGACTCATCTTACTTTCTTTTATTCCCTTTTCTTTCTGTCTTTTTTCTTTCTTTCTTTCTTTCTTTGTTAAACATTGCTTCTTTTACACGTTTTCTTCCATCTCCTTTCTTTCTTTCCTTTAGTAATTCTTTCTTTTATCGATCTTTCTTTTTTCTTTCCTTCTTTTTCCTTTCTTTCTGCTACACGCTTTGTCTAATTTAATTTTCTTCTTTCGTTTGAGAAAAAATTCTTTCTTTCACCCATGTTTTCATTTTTCTTTTTCTTCCTTCCTTTTACACAATTTTGTTTCATTTTCTTTGTTTCTTGGTAAATAAGTCTTTCTTTCTATAAATCTGTTTTCTTTTCTTTCGTTTCTAAAAAAAAAAGATCATTCTACCACCCATTTTTTTTACAATTATCTTCTTTTCTTTTCTTCTTTCTTTCTTTTCTTCTTTCTTCTTCCTTTCTTTCTTTCTTTCTTCTACGCATGTTTGTTCCATTTTAGTTTCTTCTTCTTTTTTCTTACTTTCTAGTATCTCCGCCTCCATTTCATTTGTAATGTTTTACCTCTGTATAACCTTGTTGTTTTCTTTCTCCTTCTGTTGCATATATTTATTTTCGTCTTCTTTCTTTCGCTTTGATTTTCTCTTCTTTTTCATTTACTTGTCATCACTATTTTGGCCATCCTTTTTCCTGTCATTACCTATTTTATCGTTTCTTTCTTTCTTCCTTATTTTTCTATATTTCTCCTTATTTATACGTTCTTCTACGGATGACTGTCGAAGATTTTCTCTCTACGACTGACCTTTTTCATACAATTATTTTTCTTTTGTTATATACTTCTTTCTTTCCTTCTTTAATATTTCATTTCTTTTATTTCTTTTCATTTTTTTTTCTTTTATTTCTTTCTTTCATAATTTAAAAATTTCCTACTTTCTACCTTACAACTTATTCTTTAGGAACATTCCAAATTTTAGTGTTTCTTTTGCTAAATATTTCTTTTTTACTTTAGTCTTCTTTCTTTCGTCCTTTCTTTATTTCTTTCTTTAGTTAAATATTTCTTTCTCTTTTTTTCTTTTAACCTATTCTTTTTCAAATTCTAAATTTTAATATTTCTTTCTTTTGCTAATTTTTGTTTCTCAATCTATTTCCCTTACAAGTGGTTCATTTTTTTTTTCAAAAACGAATCTGATCACCCAAGTCAATCATGTTCGACTGTCTCTTCACTTCATTGAATGCGATTCTTGCCGTGTTCATTCAAACGGAACATATTGCTTCATTTTGCTCATAATGACCTTAACAAAGAACCAATTGCAACGGAACGTAGAAACTGCAAGAATAAAAAAGAACACATTTCTGTCCTCTCTCTCTCTCTCTCTCGCTCTCTCTCTCTCTCTCCCTCCCTGACTTTTTTGTTTCGTATTCAACCATTACAATTATATTTTCAATAACCATAATGTGAGAAACAACATGGCCGAACAGGTTGTGTATTTTTTTGTCCAATGTTCAAGGAAAATTCAGTTATTTTATTACCACCATCCTCGTCATTATCATCATCATCAACATCCCTATTCAGATTAATTCATCATCATAATTATTATCATTGTCAATACTATTGTCGGTATTATAATAACCATAATTAAAATTTTATTTGGCTATGTTTATTGTCATTGCATGAAGCATAAGTTACAAGATAAAGCGGTGGAACTTTTTTTTCATTACTTTTCTATCTTAGCGTTTACTTTTTTTTATTTTTTATGTCTCTTAATGGAATAAAGGATGCAGTTTCGATTCATACAAGAGGCACAATTTCTTTATTTAATAGGCCGGCTGTTATTAATTTCACTCTTTAATAAAAAAAATAAAAAATAAAAACAGGAATGGCAACTCAAGCACGTGTGCCCACTAAAAACAAATCCTTTTATATATCTAGAATGCTTGATACTGTCTTTTCCCATTGTTTGTCGCCTAGCCAACGAGATTGATTTGTTGTTGGTTTTTTACGGCTTATCAACCGTTTGTATATTTTTTAAAACTGAAACATACTTGAATTGTAAAAATTATTCTTTTTTTTGCTGATTGAATATGGCATTAACAAACATTTTGAGAATAACACTAATTTTCCAGATATATGTTCTACTATTTACCCCATAGCTTGGAGAAAGAGATGTTTTTTTCCCAAGGCTATATGAGCGTAAGTAAATATAACGAATACGTATGATTCATACAATGCAAGACTGAAGATCAATTCAAGATAGATTGTTGGTGAATATTGAAGTGTGTGCAAGGATATATAAATAGGTGCATATTATGAGGATATTTGGGATAGATAAATGCTGACCCTAGACTTGAAGGGGTTAAGATCATAGTAGTCGCTGATACATCCGCTCGGTAGTTTATTTCACAATGTAAGTTCTTGGGAAGAAGCTATCTAAGTAGAACTTCCTCCTTACCAATGGAATACGAAAGGAATTAGAATGAGTCGACCCTGGACACGTGGTATGTTGGGTTTTATCTATGCAGATGTGAGCTGGTGAAGTGGGATTGAGCCGTGGTTAATTTTCTTTTTTATTGCTTGGACTAAAGTTAGAATAACTTTATCCGTTAACTATATCTGTTTTTTTTTTTTTTAGTTATTTATTGCCGTGCTAAAACAATAAAACAAAGGATTTATTTACATCATAAACTGTCTGGTCTTCGTCTTCTTCATCATCAGTATTTTTATTATTTACCTTTTCACGCCAGCAATTATCATTTTCGATTGACTAAGAGCAGGCTTAATGAAATCTCCAATACTATTTTCAGTATTCTGTTTATTGAATGTGAACACCTGTAGTGAGTGGCTTCGATCGAAACTGATGGGTATATATATATATATATATATATATATATATATATATATATATATATATATATATATAATTGATGATAATATATACCGAGATGGCATACATTCCGGCAACGATATCAAATTTTATTTTTGGTTCCACTAAAATCCTTGTAAATTTTGTTTCTATTATCATAGAATGACTTAAAGTAAAATAACATAAAAAAAAAACAGCACTGCTTTCTCTAAATATTTTTGTCAATTAAAGAAGGATGACAACTCAACATTTACTAACTGGGATATTATAGCAAGAGCTAATTCTTATAACGGGAAAGGAAATAGATTTAACTTATGCCTTGTTGTTAAAACGCTTAAATAAGACTACCTTATTAAACAAGAAAAATGAATTGATGTTTACATGTAGGCAAAAACAAATATTTGCTGGAATACGTTGATCCATTATTAATTTTTAATGTAAGTTACGATTTATTTTTTAAACAACGAGTAATCTTCCTTTAATATTAAATAAAAAATGAATATTCACAATTCTTAAATAACTTCAAATATATATATATATATAGAGAGAGAGAGAGAGAAAGAAAGAGAGAGAGCATATATATATATATATATATATATATATATATATATATATATATATATATATATATATATATATACAAACGCGTTTATTTTAAACGCTAAATATAAATTTCAAATTAAAAAAGTTAATCCCTGTATAATATAACTGCATTAATATTGCGATAACCAAATGTATTCTATTAAATTTCATTTATGTAGTTGTCAAAGTGATACTCAACACTTGAAGATTGCGTTATGCCTGAAACTACGAGTCGTGCTATCGCCGAGGGAGCTTTTTGTTTTATTTTATTTTATTTTTTATCTCTTGTGAATTTGTGTATACAACGCTTATGCACTTGAACTCAAACTGTCGTATTTTCCAATCTTACGATGATTTCTCGTTTACCACGAAATATCTTGTGGTTTTTTTTAAAAAAGTAATGAGCAGAATAAAACGAAAAACAATCTAATGAAGAAACTAAAAAGCCGTACTTTACGCCATCAAATTTCTAGTCGTTGATTGAATCAGTAGTTACTCAAATTGAAAAAAAAAATCAATTTATTTAATACTGACAGATTTAAGTGAAAAAGATTCCTTTTCGTAGAACGAACCGAATTGGCCCCGAACGCCTACAAACTTTGACTGGATTTACGATAAAACCTTGATTTATTCTTAGCTTTAAATATCTTCTGTTGCAATCGTCTCTGTTTATAGTATAATGGCTGGCCACTCGTATCTGAGTATAACTGCTCCAACAGGTAGCCAATCCTCGATGCAGTTGCTTGGTAAGTTAAACTTGTGTTTGTTCAACACCCAAAGAGTCAACCTGTTGTTTACGCTGCAAATATGCCGAGCAGAACTTACAGTTTCGGAGAAAGAGCGCATCATCTGGCGTGATCAACAGCTTGAACAAGACACGTACATTCAAACTCTCGGTCATGATGACTTGCGACTTGGTGCTAGTACAAACATCGACGAACAATTCAGTCTAGCCAATTCCAATTTCAGTGCTCGGGTCAGCTGATTTTAAGACACTTTCCAAAGATTCTGCATTTTTGAGTAAACTGTTGTGCTTATAGCCAGTTACCCACCTTACTATCATGAACAAACTGATCCATTCATGATAAGTAGTCCTGGGCAATTGTCTAGAAAAAAAAAAGATAGTACTATTGTATTGACTTGTCTAGTTGAGTATTGAATACTACTACCACGACTGACTCAATCGAGTTAAGTGTTGTGTTTTGTCAGACCCCTACATCACAACAGTTGGAGACGAGGATGATTCACTATTTATTATAATAATGGTGGACAAATATTTGCTTTTTTTTAACTTGCGAAATCAGTAACTCGGAAAAATCAACGGAGCCTTAAACATCTGAAATCTACATAAGAAGCAAATTTTCAAGTCAACCAATTAAAAATGAGGAACATAAAGCAGTAATGTTGTAATTAATAAAACAACAAGAACAACGATAACAACAACAAGAACAATCCCAGGAAATACTGTTGACACTACAAGAACAACAGTAAAAAAAACACTAGATCGTTTTATGAAGAGTAAAACTAACGAAACTCTACCTATATTTTTTCTCACGGTACTCCGTAATAAATACAATTGGTGAATTTAAATATAACCTCGATAAAGAGCTTATATTTGCAACATACTACAGACACTATGAAGAAATCTTTTTAAAAAATCTGTGTAAGCTGGTCGGACGAGACAAAAGTGCACCTGTTACTAAGAAATTTAGGGCTAACGGAACACGAAAAATACGTGAATTATATCCTGGAGAAAACATCGAGTTAATTGTCGTTTGAAGTTAACTATTATGTTGTTAAGTAAAATGTTCATTGAACAAAGTGCATAGTTCAATACATGTTGGCAATGTTTAAATCTTGTAAAAAAATAATAGGAATATATACAAGTTGTGCTAGTATTGTAAACAGGAATGGGAAAAGTTCAAGTTTTGCGATCTAACACCCGACATGTTTCAGTGCTTGATCTTCGTACAAGGGTTGACAGCAAATACAGGATGTGGAAATTCGTTCCTTAATTTTGACTAAGCTTGAACAAGGCCCAAAATTGACCTTGCAATTTGTAGCTGAAGAGCGTCAAAGAATAGTGAACTTATATGATACGACTAGAATTGAGGAAAGAGATCAATCTCACATGAATTCGGTTCGTTCTATAGCATGTGTGAAAACAAAATACTTTACAAAATCAAATCCATGTTACAGATCCGGCAAACTATATTTCAAGAAGAACTGCCCTTTTAAAATATGTTTCGACTGTGGAAATGTGGGACCCAAGAGTTCGCATTTTAAAGTAAAAAAAAGAAAAGAATAAAAAGTCAAAATTCAAGAGTACAGTAAACGTCGTGTCGGCGATAGACACTGTAGACAAGGGTCAAAAAAGAAAATCTATAACTGTAAAAATTAATCAAAGAAATATAAAGTTTCGGCTAGACACAAGGCCAGATTCCACCGTTATAAACAAAGAAATGTGGGAAAGATTTGGTAAATCAATGATACTTTGCCAAAAAAAAAAGAAAATTGCTCGAGATTCAGTCAATCGGTTACGTGCCATACAGCATACACGCTTAGGCGATCATGTATCTTTCGATACATGACTGATGAGGCAGATTTTTTTCCCGCAGTAGGTTGTCATTTCTTTCTGCGGTAGACCAGTTGCCATCCAAGGCTATAGAACCCGATCAGTCTTGCTATTTACCCATAGCTGGGAGGAGAAGAAGATTCATACCTTTCCAAAGAGTATTAGCATGTAAGTGAATGTAATGGATTTGACTGGAAAGTCAGTCAGTCAGTTATGTGCCATGCGTGAAACACGCTTAGGCGATCATGTATCTTTCGATACATGACTGACGTGGCAGATTTTTTCCCGGATATAAAAGAGAGCTTTAAAATTCTGATACTTACAGGACAGATTGAATGCAAGCGTGTTAGGTAGGTTACTTGCTTTTTTCCCTTTTCTCCAATTGT